TAAACCCCGAAGCCCCTACACCCCTGAACCCTATGAACCCTATGAACCCTACAAACCCTACAAACCCTACAAACCCTAAACCCCAAACCCTAAACCCCTTAAACCCCAGAAAAGGCCTGCAGCAGGGCCTGCCGAATCCATCACACCGCCAGGCGCCTGCCCTTGGCAGGCAGAACCCCTGAACCATAAAGGGTTTATAGGGTTGAGGGTTGAGGATTCAAATAGGGTTTAGGGTTGAGGGTTTACATGGGGTTTAGGGTTGAGGGTTTATAGGGTTAGGGTTTAGGGTTGAGGGTTTAGAGGGTAGAGGGTTGATAGGGTTGATAGGGTTTAGGGTTTATAGGGTTCGGGGTTCAGGGTTTATATGGTGTAGGGTTCAGGGTTTATAGGGATGAGGCTTTAGGGTTCAGGGTTTATAGGGTTCATAGGGTTTAGGGTTTCCGATGAAAGCCCCGGCCTAATCACCAACCGAAAGCCCAGGACTAAGACCCTTTACAACGTCAAACCTAGTATCTAAGACACTAAAGCCTGAACGACTTCATAGTGCATTTTGCTTTTTAGGAGCCTTTGAGAGGCTTTTAACTTGTCCAGAAGCCCCAAACTGACTACGCTGGTGCGGGGTTTCGGGGTGAGGCTTGCGCAGGCTTTCCAAGGGTCACCATCCGCGAGCGTAGATCAAGTTACCAGAATGCGGCCCTATTTGTAGTCAACAATTAAAATGGGGATGCCTTATTGTGATATATAAGTTACATAAGTTTATAAGTTGGGGCATAATCAAACACTAAAGGGTGGTCCTATTCTGGTAAGTTGTATTCTTACTTCCTTCACAGCAACCCAACGTTGGTTCGGCTCCTGGCTGAGGGAGACAGTGTCGGCCTGTGGGCGGAGATTCTCTTGCACAAACGCGTGCCGGCCGTCAGAAGCATGATCCCAGGGTTTAGGGTTCAGGGTTTAGGGTTTAGGAATGTCTGATATCCTGAACCCTGAAGCCCCTTTCAGCCGCAACTAGATCAAACCACACCGAGCAGGACTGAACACCCTCATATGAAGTAGGGTACATATATCTTGCACCCCCCCCCCCCAAAAGGACACCAGGTACATACACTCACCCATATTAAAAAGGAATCTTATATACACTCACCAATAACAGCAATATAAACCCTACTTCATACTAGGTTTCAGGGGCGATAGATCTTGGGTTGTGAAGTTCCAGGGTCGCAGCCTTTCTTCGAACCTCGTGAATCAGGGCATTCGCCACATGCTTTCCATACCCAACGCCCTAAACCCTAAACCCTAAACCCTAAACCCTAAACCCTAAACCCTAAACACATGGACAACTGCAAGGTTGAATCACCCATCAGATGGGAACGGTGATTCCCAGTACTCCACATTACAAAGCCTGAACCGACAGGTCTATGGTTTTCGAAGAATCCGGCAAGACGCGGTTTGGGGTTGAGGGTTTAGGGTTTATAAGGTTTCGGGTTTTGGATTTTGGTGAGGGCTTCGGAGAAGAAAATGCTTCAGACTTTATGTGGCTTGGCATTGAGGTGGAGCTGATACCTTCCTAAGGCACGAGACATCAGGAAACCCTAAACCCTAAACCCTAAACCCTAAACCCTCTTTTCTCTCGCGGCCGGAGCTGCCGAAAGCCGTGTCGCCGTGTCGCCAAGGCTATGCTCCCCTTAGGACCGGACCATGACGACAACAATACTTTAAATGGGGTTTAGGGTTTAGGGTTTAGGGTTTAGGGTTTAGGATTTAGGGTTTATTCTGGGCCCTAAGTGCATAAAATTATGCTCTTGCTGTTCCATTGGGCTGCTATGTAAGCAAGAATGATATGGGTGGTTGGCAAAATTATGATCCCCTAAAATATTAGGTATTATCATAAGGATCCAAAAAGGGACCATGATTTTGACATCCACCCTAATATGTTGTTTGACATGTCCCCCTAACCCTAAACCCTAAACCCTAAACCCTAAACCCTAAGTATAGAAGCCCAAAACCACGACACGCAATTCCTGAGGAACTGATCGCCCGGCGCCTCCGTTGTGGCGAGCTTGCCGCCTCGCGCCTGTTTAGGGTTTAGGGTTTAGGGTTCAGGGTTTAGGGTTTAGGGTTTAGGGTTTAGGGAGTCTCGGCGTGTCGGATTTTTGGAGGGTGAACCCAAAAGGTTTTTTTTGGGAGTTATAGGCATTGGAGGCAAACAAATATCTCTACATGTCTATATGTGTAGAAATAGAGAGGCGGAGCGAGAGAGATATACAAAAAAAGAGAGAAAGAGATGGAGCGTCAAGAAGGAGAATAGCAATGACACGGGGGCAAGGGGGGGTGGGGGGGGGTATATATGGTATAGTGAGAGTAGGACATTTTCCCCAACCACCTTGAATCGGAGCTTTAGGGTCTTTTCTTCGTAGTGGTCGGGGTCTACCAACACTGGCCGAGCCGTAGACGTCGCATGCCTGGTGCAGACCAAATCCCCACAACCCCCCCACCCCCCCCTCCCGGAACGCTCCACCCCTTAAATCCCTAAACCCTAAACCCATACTCCCCTTAGAACCTTAACAAAGATATTGTTTCCAATATCCTTTCGGGTTTTATATAAACAAAATTAAACAAAGTAATTCCCAAGGGGGATATAGAAACAGATGGCCGGTGCTGCTCGGCGCGCCTCGTGCCCGGAACTTAGAGGGACCAAGTGTCCTGGTTGAACAGGTAACCCGGATCCAGAGACAGGACTTCGAGGATTTGGGATTCGAAGCGTTTAGCGCCCTTGGGAGGCTTCCTTTAGGCCTTGACGTGTAAGCTTGTAGACCCCCGGTGCCCTCCCACAACTGTGCCTTAGAGGCTTGGGCGTGCCTTATCGCGGTTGGGTCTGCAGGGGGGTGGAGCTGTGAACCTCATATCTGGGGGACTTTTGGGCCCAAGTATATAATCATGAGGTACATGCACTTAGTTTTGCCTCTAACACCCAAGGCCTCGTGGGAGTAGAGGCCCTTAACTGCCCCAGATGCCTCAGAGCCCCGTACCATTTCTATGGCCCTTGGAAAGCCAGAACTTTGAACCCCATGAACCTCAGAGGCCCAATTCACCCTAAACCCTGCGGCCCTTACCGCTCAAAACTGTAAACCCTGAATCCCATGTACTATGAGCTCGAAACCCTAAGCCCTGTGAATCTCAAACCCGCGAACCCCCAAAGACCCGGAAAGCTTCAAGCCCTAAAACACAAACCCTACCTTAAGAATCCACAGCCTGCTCTTGTGTAGGCTATCACCATGAACCCCCTTATCGGCTTGCTAGGTAACCTACGAAACAGTAGGTTCTGGGTTCTCAAGGTAAACCCTAAAGCCCTGCAGCCGCCACATCGAATCCCGAAACCCGCTTTTCCGACCGCCTCCCCCGCCACCGGCCCGATCTTGCAGGTCCAGGTCAGACACTGTAGGCCGGTACCTCGAGTTTGCTGATGTCGGGTTTAGGGCTTAACCCTAACCCCTAAACAGTGCAGGGTTAAGGGTTTAGGATTTCGGGGTAAGGGGTCCTCTTTGAATAGGGTTTAGGGCGGAGGGTGAGGCTCCAGGATTTGGTTGCAATCATGTAGGCGGGTATGATCTTAGACATCTTTTTTGGGTCCCGTACATGCGGTTTAGGGTTTAGGGTGTAGGATTTCGGCTTCCGAGGCTTAGGGATTTTCGTTCGCTTTGGATGGCAGGGGGTTTTTTGTCAGGGAAATTTGCCTCCCCTCAACCCTAATGCGCTGAGGCCGAAAGGTCAAAACCGCAAAGCCCGAAGTCAAGGACACCAACAGCTCTACGCCCCATAACCCCACACGCTCGGCCTCCAGATCCCAAATTCCCCTAAACCCAAACCCAAACCTCCAGATCCCAAATTCCCAGGGCCCTCCAGGTTCCCAACACTTCGGAGGACTGGCTGTGGAAGGACAAGGACTCTGGCGCGCCAGTGGACCTTGGCATCTTTGAGGGGCCCTATAAACCCTAAACCCTAAACCGCCCTAAACCCCCCCAAACCCTAAACCCCCTAAACCCTAAGCCCTAAACGCCTGGGGGATTAGGACTTCTGAGGTTCGGGGAGGAGTTTTCCGGGGTTCGGGGTTACGAGAGCTGCTGCCTGAGGCCGCGTGGGCTTTGAAAAGAGACATCGAGAGCTGCACACCGTCGGGTCATCGGGTAAAGCAGCTGTTGAGGGCTTTGTGGGAGCAGCTGTTGGTTCACCAGAGTTTGTTCGCAAACAGGCGCTCAGGGCGTAGGACCATTCCGGCTTCTCCCACTGCGTCTGGTTCGTGGCCGAGTTGTGGAAGTACCTAGCAGGTCCGTTGCTCGCACACGGATGCCTATGAAACCATCTATGGATCCGCGCTCCAGGCAACATCGAGCGCCATCATGCCGGTTTCCGTGCCCTATGAAACCCGCAGACACTGAGCATCCTCCCCCTGGAGCACTCCTTTCCATCTTCTGTCGTGTACCTGGGAATGGCGGGAATGGGGCAGCACAGCACATGAAGGCTTATTCGCTTTTCTTGCCATATTCAGGGTTCTTTGCGATCGCTGGCTGGAGGGGCCCCCAAATCCTAAACACACCCTAAGGGTCCATGTACCTCATGATTATATACTTGGGCCCCAAAGTCCTTATATAGGAAATACTTTAAGGCCCAAGTATTCCCATTTAGGTACATGGACCCTTAGGGACAGCGTGTCTGGTTGCTGAGGCAGCCTGTGAGGTACTCGGGATGAGGCACTCGTCGGGATCGCCCCGCGGTGGTTTTTTGAGCGTTTATCATCCTGAGGGTCTTGAGCTCCCCTTCGCCTAGGGTTTAGGGTTTAGGGTTTTAGGGTTTAGGGTTTAGGGGTTTAGGGTTTAGGGTTTAGGGTTTAGGTTTAGAAGGTTTAGGTATTTTGGTATGATCCTTCCCAGCTCGTTTTAACGTTAGTAACAATTGACAGTAGCAGCATCAACCTAAAATTCTGAGCCACCACGTTTTGCATGTACCCGCTAAACATGAAGCTGCTGTTGTTACCGTCGCCGACGCCTGCAAACCCTCAAGCCCCAGCCCTGCCCGCCGAAGCCACAGGGGGGAGTGCGCACTCGGGCGTTGGTTCTATAGTTCATGGTTGGGATCGTACTAAAAATTTTGAATCTATGTTCCTTATTGGGTTTTAAGTAGCCGTAAAACTGTATATTGACCAAGGTTCGGGCATTGGTTGCAGGATGCAGAGTTGCGGTACAGGGCTGAGTTCATCCCTCTGCCTAACCCGTCCACACACAGAAACACTCAGCTGACTTGAGCTGCGTGGCTTGGACCAATTCGGGGGCAGCGACATGTTCTCGCTGGCCGAGGGTCCAGGGAGGTTACGGTTTAGGGTTTAGGATTGAAGCCTCAAAAAAGGGTGCAGGGTTATACCCTAAACCCTAAAAACCCAAAAGGATCCTCTCGGTTTGCGGGGGTGAAGGTTCAGGGCTTATCCGTACCATTCCGTACCAAAAGTCCATGTTAGGTACTCATCACCTCTTGCTTATGCAGTTGCATGCCCTAGAGAATGCGGAAGTAAACTCGAGTCCTTGGCCAAGATCTGAGAACTTGGGAGCTGCAAGTCACACTTTGAGCTGTGGCGACTCGAGCCAAGGAGCAGAGAGTGTTGGGGTAATTTTTCTTTGGGCGCCATGAGAATTCAAAACGGTTGCGGAGCAAGCTGAGTAGGATTTTCGGACCAAGCAGGCGCGATGCGCTGTATACACCCCCACTCAGCATCTCTTCCGAAGAGCTGACACATGAAGAAGCTCGACGACCCTAAACCCTAAACCCTAAACCCTAAACCCTTCTCCTTCGCCTCCCATCGCTTTGTGGCACATTTTCCTTCCTTCATTGAACAGCAGGCAGCTGGCACTGCTGTGCCATGGTTGATGAAGCTTTCCGGCGAAGCGGGAGGCATTTAGGGTACAGGCGCGCGTATATACTGGGCAACTCGGACCTTGAAGGGAGCTCCAGTAGATGAGCTGGCATGCTTGCTAAGCCAATCTCCACACACCAAGTAGGATCCAGAAGTGGCATCCAAAAGTCCCTGAACCCGTACAGTATCTGCACGACGATCCATTTGCAGATGGGCCGGGCCGATACATGCCCACAATGCACAAAAAAACTGTGCCGCCGTGAGGGCGAATTTACATCCGTTGCGTGCAAGCATGAACAAAAAAACTAACCTTTCGGGGACTGCGCCAGACCTTGGGGACCAAATGAACCCTAATATTGGGGTCTCATATATATATATATATATACCCCATACCACTATACTTCATCTTACAGTATAATGAACCCTGTTTATTGGGGTCATATGTACCCTATACCACTATATTTCTCATCTTACGGTATATGAACCCAAACCCCTCTTCAGGTTCATTTGGAGCCCAAGAGAAGTCGGCTGGCAGCGACGACCTTCTGAGGGGCGGATCTGGGCGTTTTCCGGGACCTTCCCTCAGCTCTGCTAGAGGCGGGTGGAGGCCGCCTTAGTGCAAGGTTTCAGTGAGTGGTGCGGGTGCCTTCCGATCCCTTTTGGGAGCAGGAACTAGGGCAGACAGAGCGCACGAAGCTCGGCTATTCCTTAAGCTCTAACATGCAGGGAGGAGAAAAAAAACCATCAGAATGGTGGACAGCAAAAGGAGCCGAACCCTAAACAGACTCTAAGCCTTAAACCCCTAAACCAGAAGACCCCTCCTTTTTCATCTGAGCCGGGGACACCAAAGACAAAGAGGCGCTCTCTTTCCTTGTGGTAGGCCTTCGACTTTTGTGACTTCTCAGGGTTTTGGGGCGGGGTCCTATAGGGTTTAGGACATATTTTCGGGGTTTTTAAGGCCTGGAGGGGGAGGGAGGAGGAGTTTAGGGGTAGGGCTTCAAGGCTTTAGGGGGTTCGGCCCAAAAACCTAGGAGGGGGGTCTTGAGACTTACAAATATCTAAGCCTCTAGACCCTGCAAGACCCATAGAGCCATAAGGCCCCTGCACAGCCCGTAAAAACATCCTGGGCCGAAGTCTATACCTTGCGTATACTGGGCGCATGGAGCCTTAAGAACCCTGTCTTGACCTGAACTGCTACAAGGGTGTAACGGGTTTCTGGCACGGGAATGGCATCCTTTGGTCTATACTCACCTTAGAACCTTAATAAACCAAATATTTCTAGTATCCTCTTGGGCTTTATATATAAAAAATAAGAAAGAATTCCCAAAAAGAATTCCCAAGGGGGTAGCCGACGGCCTTTTCGCAACAGGGCGCGTCCTCGGCTGGCGACGAATCAGCGGCTGATGGACGAGTCAGCTTCGGCTCGCGACCCGGTATCGACCGCGACTACTGCCCCAAAAGCCTTGCACTACCTTTCGCGGATGCGCAGAGAAGGATGCGGCAAAATGTAAGGGTTTAGGGTTTAGGGTTTAGGGTTTAGAGTTTAGGGTTTAGGGTTTAGGGTGGCCTAATGACGTACTGTATAGGGCAGCACCAGCGACGACAGCGACATTGCATGGCTCGAATTGCATGGAGTTGCTTCCTTGCTGCCGCGTCTGAGACATGAAGCTTTTGTCGCGGCCGCTCTAAATTTAGCAGGGTGGGTTTTTAGCTATAATTACACAGGCACATTGGTAGCAACCCGGATTCCGAATTAGCGGCTCCCGAAGCATTGCGCCTGCATACCAGACAGAAGAGATGAACTCTTGCTTCAGTGATATTGGCCGAGTACATATTCCGACGTCCCTCAGCGTATCCATAATAGTGGCCCACATATACCCTTCAATTTGCGCCTACAGGCCATTATGGCCAAGTACTATGGGGGTCAAGGTTAAGGGCTTCGAATGTCTTCCACGTGCTTTTGCGAAGCCCTGGAGTGTTATCTACACCGCGGGTCACAGCCCCCTTCGTTCATGCACAGCATCACATGGCCGACCTTCTCATTGCTTTGGGAACTCATTGAGCTTTTGGGAGGTTGGGGATCTTCGTCCAGATTGTCGGGGAGTTTCCAGGCTTCTCTTTGCTTCAAGAGCTCAGAAATGACAAGGGCTCAGCTTCCTTCTGAAGCTCAAACCCATGGCGCCGCGCCGGCGCGCCCCTTGGGTCCTCCCGTGCTCAGGGGCGGGCCCGCCTAAAAGCTACAAAGTGTCTCTCTGAAACCTGTTGCTTGACGCTGAACATGCTCGGAACACTTCCGGTTCCTCAGGCGCCGCCCCTGAAAGCAGCCTTCGAGCTCAGTGCTCTCAGAACCGCATCGTGGGAGCCGCCTGGCTTCGATGGTATGGGTTCAAATGGTGATAAGCATTTACAGATACACACACATATGTATATGTATATATATATATATACATGTACATATATATATATATGTATGTTTCTAAAATATCAGATTAACATCATCAGAAATAAGAAATAATGATATAATGTAATGATGTAGTAGTACTATGGCTTGCTAAGGCTGCCTCGCGCTGGTAGGTTGCAAGGGGGGGTGCAAGAGGCAAAGATGGAAGGGGTCAAGGTGCCTTCGGCTCTCCACTTTAAAGACCTTAGAGTGGGCCGGTCAGACTCAACCTTGTAACTTAGTTGTCCAGTAACCCTTGGGGAATTAAAGGTTAACCTTTGGGATTCTAAGGGGATTCTGCTACCCCCAAAAGGTTGAAGGTTTCCCGCTCTACTACTAGGATAAACCCTAGACCCGAAACCCTCAACTGCTCCAATGCTGCTCTGTTCAAGTCGCGCCCCCCCCCCCCCCCCCCCCCACACATCCAAACCCTTACGAGCAACCCAAAGCCACGCAAAAACCCAAAGCTGTAGCCCAAAACGACCCTGTTGAGCATGACGGCAAGTGCGGTCAGCGAGATCAAAAAGGGGCTTGAGCAACAGGAACGTCCGATCAAGGGAAATCCTATGGAAACTTCAAGTCACCAAATTTGTCTCCAGGTGGCCAAGGCCCCTAAACCCTACACCCCCCCAAAAAAAGAAAAGGCCCCGAATTGGTAGTACTGTTGTTTATATAAGTATATGCGGGGGTTTGAGGGTCAGAAGAGGTCTCGCGTCTCTCGAGGCGGGGGCCTTTGTTGCGCTTCCGCGCCAGCTCGGAGGCCGTCTTGCCGTTGGACGTCCGCTGCGTCGGGTCGGCACCCTCCTTTTTCGGGCACATGGGGGGTTTAGGGTTTAGGGTTTAGGGTTTTGGGTTTTGGGTTTGGGGTCCATATTACAAGGGGATCCTACTATTTGCGGGTCGATGTTCGGCCCCTTATTCTCGTAAACCCCCTCATGCCTTTTGTGGACCGACATGAACCTGAAAAGGGGTTTTGTGGGTTCGTATACCATAATAGGGATTAGAGCAGTGTATAGGGTCTATGACCCTAGTTTTGGGGTTCACTTGGTCCCAAGGTGTGGCGCGCTGTTCGATGCACATGTCTTCTCAACCATATCATCCAAACCCTACATCCTGAGCCGCAGAAGACAAGGTTTCAAGGCGGGCTGCGTCAACTCACAGGGTAAAAACAAGCGCAGTCACATCAGGTTCATCGAATATCTCCCCACCAACAGGGGGCGCTTGAAGCTATAGTTTGTGAGACATGCTCAGCCGCCCCCATGGGCGAGTACATGTGGAATCTGGCGGTGATTAAGGACAGCTACTGGGTGGTGCGGAGTACGCGATGCAGGATCCCTGCTATCACTGCTCGTCTTACTTTGCCACATACAGATGCCCAGTATGGAGAATCTTATCTTAAATGGCTCAGAATGCAAATCGCCTGCTTGCCTGCCTGAAAACCGAAACCTACCTGGGGCGCCTCAACCACCGTTTTGGGAGTTCTGTGGATTTGTGTGGATTCTTGCTCCTGAATCATCATCTCCACCATGCCTGCGTCCGCCAGCTCGGCGGCGACATGGATGGGATACCTTGAAAGGAACAGGGCCCGAAAAGCCCCCAAAAGTGCTAAACAACCCTCCCCCCTTCTACCCTCCTGGGCCTCCTACTATAGGGCGCACGATGGCGCGCACTCTACAATTTGCTTAAGAACCCCTTTACAGTAAAAACACTCTTCCTTCTCATATAAGGACAATATAGGGATTGTTGTCCTGTGTTTTTGAGGGGGTCTTATTAAGCAAATGGTAGCATTTGAATTGGGGTATGTTGGGAAGCTTCGAAGATAGTATGGCCAAAATGAGTTGGTTTTTGGGCTCCCCTAAACCCTAAACCCTAAACCCTAAACCTAAACCCTAAACCCTAAACCCCAAACCCTAAACCCTGAAACTCCTCTGTGGCTTGCCGCGCCGAGGTGCACAGTTCTCGCCATGAAGGGCAAGCCGCAGGCATCCTGAAGCTGCGGAGGGGTTTGGGGTTTAGGGTTTAGGGTTTGGGGTTTAGGGTTTAGGGTTTGGGGTTTGGGGTTTGGGGGTTAGGGTTTGGGGTTTGGGGTTTAGGGTTTGGGGTTTGGGGTTTAGGGTTTCGGGTTTGGGGTTTAGGGTTTCGGGTTTGGGGTTTAGGGTTTACGGTTTGGGGTTTAGGGTTTACGGTTTGGGGTTTAGGGTTTACGGTTTGGGGTTTAGGGTGTAGGGTTCAGGGTGTAGGGTTCCCAGAGCGCTATGTTTGTGGTTATAGGGTCACCCCCCCCTTTCCCGGGGCTGAACTCTATTAATAATCCCCCATCCTGGGTTTAAGGCCTGACAGGGGTGAAGGGTTTAGGTTTGATGCTTGATACCTGCAGTCCGATTTTTAAGCCCAACTCCTGCACGCGCTTGGCATGGCCCAGCGCCACAAAGCCGTGCGCTTGAAGGAACTCCTGTGGCCGGAGGCAGTCCAGTTTCATCATGGGATCCCTCGCCCTCTGCCCTCCCCCAAGGGGCCCCCACACTTAGGGTTTAGTGTTTAGGGTTTAGGAACACCACCACGCCAAAAAGTTTAAAAGGTTGGGGTTCTGCAGGTAGCAATCCCATGGACTTGAGAACGAACCTCTCAAACAAACTCATTGAGAGCTTAGGGTCTTCGGGTTAAGGGTTTCAACTAGACCCCACTTCTGGCTCCTTGCTTGGGGTACTGGCAGCTTCAAGAAATCCCTGCTAACCCCCAAATTGCGCTGGACCCCTTTATCGGGCCCCAAAGCAGCTAGCAATACCCTGAGCTCATAGTTCGGCAGCACTAGATGCAGGGTTTTAGGTGTTCAGGGACTTCTGGGGCTCGGGGGCCGAAGGAAGCCGCCCAGGAATGCTACCGCCCTGACCTCCACACGCTGCTGGCGCTCCTGCGAAGATGGTTTAGGGGTTGAAGGGCTAGGGCACCTGTCGTTCTAAGACGTCCATAACAACCTACAAGTAGCGTCGTGCTCACACCTCATGATCTCACATACCATCAGCTACTGGGATCTGTTCAAGCCAGTCGATCTCTGAATGCTACTTGGCATATCCCTATAAACCCGAACACCTGGAAGCTCAACAAACTCAACAACACGACAGAACAACCCCTATGACTCCTAGACCCCTGAACTTAAGGGGTATAAGGAGGAACCCCTAGAAGGGACTCTTAAATTTATTCCGTATATAAGCCATATATATATATACACACCTTACATAGTCCCTACGCACCTAAACAGCCCCTAAATAAACCCCTACAGTCTGGGGCTCGACCCTCTTCTGGTTCAGGAAGGTGCCAGCCTTCTCTCTGGCTTGTCTGCGGGCACGCTCCTGAACAGGGAGGCCCCCAACATCGAGGGTTTGTCCCTTGGCCTTAAGGTTGTACCCTTGGGTTTTGGGGGATCCCTTTAAAGATCCCTAAGGTAGTAGAAGGGCCATGCTAGGAGTATATTAGGGTGTTAGGGGTACGAGTCTCAATCCCTTGACAACAGAGGGTCTAAGTAACTGCCCACTATGGCCACATGCCTTCACCCGCAAAAACACCCCAAAACCCCCGAAACCCTCCCCCAAAACACCCCCCCCAAAACCCCCCAAAACCCCAAAACACGAAATCCCGAAACCAACCCAAGCCTTAGCCGGACCAACCCAAGCCTTAGCCGGTTTTTTTGGGGCCCCAGTCCTCCTCCTCCTTCTGCTCCTTCTGCCGGAGCTCTGCCTGTGGAGCACCCATCCCCTGAGGATAAGGGGGTTTAGGGTTTAGGGTTTAGGGTCTAGGGTTTAGGGTTTAGGGTTTAGTGTTTAGGGTCCCCTAAAAAACAAGGGGTTCCTTTCGGGTTCTTTTTTGCAGCTTTCCCCACTACGAACCTTCTTTCTGGACCTCATGATTCCCACCGCTCCCTGGGCCCTGCCCTGGGCCTCGCGAGCCTTCTCTGCAGCTCTGGCCTCTGCCTGGCGCTGCTCCTGGGGTTTAGGGTTTAGGGTTTAGGGTTTAGGGTTTAGGGTTTAGGGTTTAGGGTTTAGGGTTTAGGGTTTAGGGCTCTGGTGGGATTGCAGCTTGGGCTTTCGGATGTTCACTGCAAGGACAAAAGCCAGTTGAACAAGGCTGCAGGTGAGGTAAGGGCATGAGCTTCGTGTATGTCCACTGGATGCAGGCGGCTGCTGAAGGCTCCAAGGCTCCACTTGAATGGGAGATTGGGCTGGGCTCTCTCATGACACGAAACACACAACATCAAGACCGAGTCCTAGAGATCGAGGAATGAGGAGAGAAGTCATCTTCTTCCAAGCCCCTAAACCCTAAACCCTAAAACCTAAACTCTAAACCCTGGTGTGTTGGGTGAGCGCAACAACTCACTGGCGCTCGGGGGCTTCGCCACAAAGGCACCCAAGGATTGGGTTTCCAGGGATTGATCTTCAACTTGGGGTGGGTCGGCGGCATGCCCTAAACCCTAAACCCTAATTAAACCCCAAACCCCAAACCCCAAACCCCAAACCCTAACTCTTTACCCGCCACAAGCCTCGCGCGCTTTCTCTGCCGCGAGTTCCTCTACCCGGCGCTGCTCCTGGCACAAGACAATGGGCATTCCGGTGCGGCTTTCATTGTTTGCTTCAATCGAGGCCAGCTTACAAAGGCTTAGCCGATTGCTGACCAGATCCCTTATAGACATAGCAGATACGCATGGTGGAATTCAGAAATCTTCTTCCAAGCCATCAGTAATCAAGCCTCCTGCCCTTGCCGCGACCCTGAACGCAAAAACTCGGTGGTTCTCGGGGCCTTCGTCGCACATGGGCACCAAATGGGCACGAAAGGCATGGGTCGGTCGGCGGCAGGGAAATGAAACTTTCTTACTATATTGCATAAAACTACAGAGACTCCCCTCCCATTTCCTCTGCCTGGCGCTGCTCTTGGCACAAGACCGTGGAAACTCAGATTAGGTCTTCATGGTTACTTCAATCAAGGCCGGTTTACAAAGGTCTCGGCATGGAGACATGAAACCTCTTGTGTTGCTTCCTCTCCCCGCCACAAGCCTCGCGAGCCTTCTCTGCCGCGATTTCCTCTGCCTGGCGCTGCTCCTGGCACAAGACTGTGGGAACTCAGGTTGGGCTTACGCTAGCATGCTCGGCTTCCGGCACAAGCGACTGTTAGAATCTCTCTGCGTGTGTGTGTGTGTGTGTCAAAATCGACGGCTTTATCACAACACTCCATTTGGGAGCCAAAAAGCAAGTCTCAAAAGTCTTCAAGGTCGCTATTCATGACATCCGTGTCTTTTCCTTTGATAGTCGGCAGGACTTTCTTAGCTGGGTTCGTGCCTTTGTTCTCTTTGTATCCGATCCGTGAACGACCGACTTCAGCAAAATGCACATGGCAGTACTAAACAGGTAGTGCCGTATGTTGTTTACTTCCAGGTGATCGCAAGAAATTCAAGACTTGACAGATAGTAGGAATCAGAATGTGAGAAAAAAAAGTGACTAACTTGTACAAGCAGCCATAAGTTGCTGATATGCTGCAGTTGCGATATAGCACTTGATTCACATCAGATTCTCGACCCAAGTTGCATTTACGCAGCAGATCGGACCGAACTTCAACACAAGACCCAAGTGATAACACTGAGAATACGCCCGCCTGCACACACAATCACACACACACACCAAAAAAAAAAAAAAACAAGCCGTAAACCCGCCTCGGACACCACCGAAGCCCTGTCAGCCCTACCATACCCCACAAGCTCTGCAAGCCTGTAACCCCTACACGTACGTCACACCCCAGAAGCCCTCAGCCCCCAAACCCTGGCGCCCTAAACCCTAAACCCTAAACCCTAATCCTCAAAAGCTGCTCCTGCAGCTGGCTGGGCAGGGCTTCGCTGGGAATCTCCTCTGCAGCAGAGACACAGCACTGGCTTCAATGCCGTGGCCGCCGGGAAGGGGGGAGGGGGGGGGGAGAGTCCCGTAAGGACGAATTGAACCCTAAAAGGGTTTATGGGTTACCTTAATAGGGATTGTAGTAGTATGGGGGCATATGACCCCAATATTAGGGTTCATTTGGTCCCCAAGGGTCCTAAGGTGACCTCGTTTGGGTACACTTTTGGGGTACACAAGGGGGTTAGGGTTTAGGGTTTAGGGGTAAACGCATGTGAGGTTTGGGGGGTAAAGGCGTTCAGACGCATCCAGCCGCTGTCCTCCTCCTCTGCCGCCTCCTCTTCTGCCTCCTCTTGAACTGGCGGCGCTGGCAGCGGCGGTAGAGGCTCCTCCGTGTCCTGCCAGGCTGATGTGGCGGGTCATAGAAGAAGAAGAAGAAAAGAATAAGAAGAATAAGAAACGATTCAAGAGCACAGCAGCAAGAACATCAGAAGGATAACTTCAAGATTCTCGGTGGTTCGAGAAGGTTTCGAGCACAAGTCAGCTGCCTCCCTGAACCCGAAAGACCCCGAAAACACAGAGTACTTACCCGCAACCAGCAGCCGCTCGTCCTCTGTGCCGAGGTCCGGAACTGCCGCGTGAATACCTGGAGCATTTTAGGGTTTAGGGTTTAGGGTTTAGGGTTAGGGTTTGTTCAGGGTTGGGATGTTCCCGCTTCTAGCAGTATCGCGCGACAGAGCGAAGCAGCTGAAGGTTTGCAGCTAGGGAGCTGCGCAACACATGTGATCAACCCCGAACCCCAAAGTTGAAGACCGAACAAGATGCTAAACAAAACGCCAACAGCCCCACGTTTCACCCTCATCGACCCCAAACAAACCCCAAACCTCCCCAAGATCTCAAAACCCCTGGACTTCGCTCCTACCCCCTCCCCCCCCTCCCCGCCGCCCGACCTGGCAGCGGCAAGCTGCCGTCGATGCCCGTCACCGGCACCTGCTGGGTTTCTGCAGCGCTCTTTTTTTTGTTGAAAGCTCGGCATTACAGAAAGTGTTTCAACACTTTAGGGCGGGTTCCATTTTGAGGAGGGAAAGGTGGGAAAGGATTGTGGTTTCGACTTCCCACCCATCAGCCTGATGTGTTCAGCTTTCGAGGCCGGCCAGGTTTCCCCCAACTCACTCTCCCTCCACCCCCGATTTCTGCAGCCCTGCTTTGCTCCAGGGAGGTCGGGCGAGGTTCAAGGTTGCGCAACCTAAACCATCCTAAACCCCAAAACCCTAAATGCCGAGATGCACTCGGGGCGTATAAGTGCTGTCCTTACCCTGCCGACGCTCAGCTACTGCGTTGCCGCAGGCCACCCAGCTCAGTCACACTCGTCCCTTGAGGAGGAACCTAGGAATAAACAGGGTGCCCTGTTTGGTTTTAAGGGGATTACAAGGGCACCCCCAACCCCCAAGAAAAAGGAATTACGGGGCCCTCTCCGGGTCCTAGATACCGTTGCATCCGACGGGTGAGCTGAGAGCAAAATGTCGTTGAGGGGTATGGTGTCCGGGGATACAAGTAGCCCTCCAACCGCAGCTCCAATCCATGCTCCCCCTGCCGCCAAGGACGAAAAGTTAAAGCGCGATCGCAGAACAATGTATGAACTGTCGTTTTGTTGCTCCCGGGTGAATTTAAGGCGCTTGGGGGGGGGGGGGGGGGGGGCAGGGGGTTGACCGACTACCGTTTTGTAAAATGCGTCCCTAAACCCTCAGACCCCAGGCCCTAAACCCTTAACCCTAAACCCTAAACCCTAAACCCTACGCCAAGAACGCTTCTCCCTGAACCCCCAACCCGGATTCCTCCCTCCGGAGTCCCCCGACCTCCGCCAGTGCCTCGGAGCCCTCAGACGTCTGCTTCTTGCCTCGGGCACTCTTTTCCAAAGGGGGGTTTAGGGTTTAGGGTTTAGGGTCTAGGGTTTAGGATTTAGGGTTTAGGGTCTAGGGTTTAGGATTTGGGGTTTAGGGTTTGGGGTTTAGGGTCCAGGGTCATGCTTGCTGCTCAGCTAGTGCACTTCGGGTGCCTGATGAATTCGGGTTTAGGGTTTAGGGTTTAGGGTTTCGGGTTTAGGGTTTAGGGTCTCGGGTCTAGAGTCTAGGGGTTAGGGTTTAGGGGCGATTTGGGGCGGGGCCCACCACAAGCAAAGTCTGGGCCCGCTTGGAATGGTAAGCTGTGTCAGGGGCAGTCATAGAGACAACAAGGGCCCATGGTTTCGATCAGCCCCACGAGGCTTCAAGGGTTTTAGGGTTTAGGAGGTTAAGGGTTGATGGGTCTAGGGTTTAGGGGTTTAGAGTTTGGGGTTTGGGGTTTAGGTTTAGGGTTTGGGGTGTAGGGTTTCGGATTGAGGATTTAGAGGGCTTGGGGTTGTTGGTATTGCGTAAAAACCCGTTTCAGACGGGCCTGGCCCTCGCATCTCAGGGCCTAGGCCTTAGGGTCGAGTTGGGCAGTGAAGGGTTTGCAGTCTAGGGCTTAGGGTTTAAGGGATGCTAATGCTCACGGGTTTCTTGGACCCCCCCCCCCCTTCCCCCAGCAGATATAGGGGTCTACGTGGGGAAGGGGGGGAGCTCAAATGGCATAGCAAGCAGTTTAAAACTCTACCTTCGCACTTTCAGAGAGGTAGCATGAGAACATATATGAGAACGAGAGCCAACAACGGATGTCCCCCCCTAAACAGCAACAACGAACATGACTTAGAAACCTGACCATGTGATGTACGTCAGCTCAAGCGGCGCTCTTGCCAAAGCTGGACCAGCTCATCTGCCTCCGCCTGGAGATGGGAAGAGCTCCGAGGCAGCGTAAAAAGTGAAAAAAGTTGCTTTTCCTGCGCGCCCGATCAAACCCCCCCTCCCCATCATTTGCAACCATAACACGAGATGCCCCGCGAAACATCTGTACAATCATCTTGACCCTAACCACAAAACAAGATACGATACCCCCCGGCCCCCCGCAAAACAAGGAATTACATAATTAGATTCGAAGGTCTGGGTAGCTCTGATGACGAGGCATTTGGTCAGGGTCTTCAGGGTTTTGGGTTTGGGTCTGAAGCCGCGCCGGGGGGGGGGGGGGGGGGGGGGGGGGGGGAGGGGGCTTCCCAACAACAGCGGTACCCTGATTGGAGGTTCCTCTAGTCTTTTGGGGGAATATATTAAGGTCACCACTTTTTCGGGAAATGCCCATAACCCTTTAGGCCCTAACCCTGTGCCATGCTCTACTCTGGGGTAGGTTTGGGGACCCTATAAACAGTAATTCTTTCTGGCTTTACAAAGGGTTAGCCTAAACCCTAAACCCTGTTCAAACCAACCCCTGTACTGGTGGCACTGCAAGGCAAACACCCGAGAGCCCTAAACCCGGCCAAGGTCATCAACTGGGCTGGGTGGGTTGGGAAGGAAGCCCGCACCCCTCTACCCTGAATGCCAACAAAACGCCTAGACCTAAACCATCAACCGCCCCAAACCCCCAAACCCCCCAAAACCCCAAACCCGAATCCCTCGACCCCACAACAGGCAGCCAAATCAGCTCCAACATCACGAAATGGCACAAAGTCCTGTCCTGAACCCCAAACCCTAAACCTTAATCCTAAACCCTAAAGTCTAAACTCTAAACCCTTAACCCTAAGCCCCCCCAAACCAAGCCGGTTCGTGCAACGGCGCGGCCCTCGTCTTGGCGCCGACCACCAGCCGGTCACCTTCGTAGAGCTCCACAAAGCGGCCATCACCTGCAGGTTAGGGTTTGGGGTTTGGGGTTTAGGGTTTAGGGTTTAAGGTTTAGGTTTTAGGGTTCCGGATTTAGGGTTTGGGGTTTAGGGCTATAAGCTTAGACGGACATAATACTGTGGAGACTGCTTCCGTGGCCTCTTTTATAGGGGCCGAAAACACATAAACATAAGGATCCTACAAACAGGGTTTTTTTCGGCCATTTATAGGGGCCCTTATACGCCAATAGTAGGATCCTTATGTTTATGTGTTTTCTGGGCCCCTATTTTGGTCCGGTAAGACTGTTCCCGAGCAACCCAAGAATCAGGAGGGAAGCCTTATTGCAAGGGAACCTAGATCGTTGCCTTGTGTGCGCAGATTTAAACCCTCAACCCTAAACCCTAAACCCTACTGGAAAGAGCCAGCCGAAAACTTGCTCGGGGGTTGGGCCTGTCGGGGTTTGGGAGTCGAGGGCGGTGGGGACCTGGAGCCTGGCTCCGACAAGCCGAGATTAGGGTTTAGGGTTTAGGGTTTAGGGTTCAGGGCTAGGGCTTGAGGCTCGGATGATGGCCCAAACTCCACGTATGGCGTGCGCCGCTCTGTCTTCTCGACCACTTTTCCTTTTGCCTGGATTTATTTGTTGAGCTATTCCTCTATTTGTATCTTTATGCCCTTGGGCTTTTGGTGTCTTTAACTTTGGCGGGCATGGTATCGGGGTTCTTCATGCGATGCTGGCGCTCTGTACCTTCTGCTTCTTGCGCTAACACGCTGCGCGCGTTTCCATGAGTAGGGTCTTATTGCTGCTACTGCGGACGCGAGGTCATGGGCCAAGCGCTTCTGCAGAACCCCATGTACACTTTACCTACTAATTGCTTAAGAACCCCGAAAAGATATTCTTCCTTATTAATGGAAATATAGGGATGTTTATTTTTTGTTAATGCTTTTGGGGTTCTTCGGCAAATAGTAGCTCCCGACAACAGTAATATTGCTGCAGAGCATGGGCTCCAACAAGGCAGCCTGAATTAAAGAGCTGTCCACTGCTTCATCTTCAGTTTGGGACTCGGGTCATCTCTTCGGGAGTGCTTGGGAGTGGGCCTAATGCTACATCCTACCGACGTGCAGCGTGGTAAACAAGCCAAGGACATGCCTGAAAGCCTCAGACGGTGCCGGAGAAAGCAGGTGAGGGGTTTGGGCTGCCAGGTCTGTTCCCAAGCAACCCCTTTGCTTGAAGGGTGAAAATAGAAAGAACCAGGCCCCAAAAAAAGGGAATACGGGGAGCTCCCCCCAACCCCGGTCCTAGGCCATAAAGCTTGACACCCGGCAAGCCCGCCACAAGTTGCCTGCGTCCCAGCGTTCGACAGCCTGCTGGACAGGGTTTGGGGCTTAGGGCGGGTACTAGCTGGTTAGTTAGGGCCCGGCCGCCAGGCTGGTGGGGTGCCCTTCCGTCACCAAACCCTGAACCCTAAACCCTAAACCCTAAACCCTGAACTAACCCTAAACCCTAAACCCTTTTGGGGGGTAGTCCGGATTCACGGGGTCACCATGGTCTCAGCGCTGTAGGGCTCTTCCCAGCACCGTCTATTCAGGCTTCGATTGACAAGGTTGTGCTAGGCGGCGTGGGTTCACCTGTGTGCTGTAGAAGTTGTGGCTTCTACCATCACAAGAGGAGTATAAGCCCTTCCTCGGCGTGCTGCCACAGGGTTTGAGGTGCTCAGCCTCCGGGACTTTGAGCGTTTTGTGTGTTTTTGGGGTGCTAAACCGAAACGCCTGAAAACAAGCCCTGAGACCCTCTTTTCCCCCAGTGCACTCTGTCAATCTCTACTCTAAACCAATCCGCCTCCGAGTTGAGCCGCACCCGCACAGTGTCACTGGCCCGGTCAAAGGGGACGCAGGAGCGGCAGTCGAGCATCGCGAACCTGGGATGGGGGGCATGGGGTTTAGGGTTTATAGGGTTTAGGGTTTAGGGGCAGAGAGCAAAGAGCCCTGTTGCTGGTTCGAAGGCATTTTGAGGGTGTGAAAGGGTACCCTAGGAAGGGGCAAAGGTCTCTAAAGTGAAGTGGCTTCAAGCGGTCTGGGGTTTAGGGTTCGGGGAGCCGAAATGTAAGGCGGCTGTGGTGCGCTCTCATTCGGAATCCTGAAGTGATGGGCGTCAGGCTCAGGATGAACGTGCGCGTCGCAAGGCTATCAACGGAGGAATGTGCGACAATATTCATGGCCAGTTGATGCCGGCTACCCCTAAGCCCTAAACCCTAAACCCTAAACCCTAAACCCTAAACCCTAAACCCGAACTACGAAGCTACTGCAGCACGAAGATCAACACTCCCAAGGCAACGCAAGATGCTCGGCCTGTGAGCCCAAAGAGCTCAGCTTCTGTAAGCTGTGAACCCGATAAACCACATTGAGCCTTATAAGGGTTTAGGGCGAAATCTTATAAACCGATGATCCCCATAAAACTCTGTAACCCCCATAAACCCTCCAAAACTCCAAAAAACCCTATCACCCCAATAACAAAACTTTATACACCACCCCCATTCATGGCCCTGTAAACTCCTGACTCGCCTTCCTCTCACGGAGCTTCTTTGAAACACCCCAAAAACATCTGAGCAACCCTCAAACCTATATAAAACTGGACGAGCCCGGACGACAAAGTTTGGTTTAGGGTTTAGGGTTTAGGGCTTAGGGTTTAAGGTTTAAGGTTTCATTCACAGAACTCAACAGCACCCTCCCCTCCCCCCCCCCTCCCCTCCCCGCCCAACAAGCACGTCAACTCAAACTCCAGGCAGAGTAGCCTTATATGGTCAATTCTCGAAATTCTTGCGCCCAAAAGGGACCATAATTTTGAGAACTGCCTTTTTGTAGAAGAACGGAAGTGTAGCATAGATATTGGGTACGGCGACCCTTTTGGACGGAAAGAAGAACCGGGAACCCCCCCCCCCCCGCCACACCCGCGAGTAGAGTTCTACAATCCCTGAGTTGTGACAAGGTGCTACAAACACCCTAACTCCTGCAGTATCTTGGTACCCCAGTAGCCATATTACAATAAGGGCACCCTTTTTTGGTTGGCAAATTTATAAGGGAACCTTGAAAAAAAAGGAAAAAGGGTACCACTGGGCTACCAAGGTATACTTCGTCTAGCAAGGAGGCGCCCCTCCCTGCAAGTTCCTCGAGGCAACACCGAGCCCCACGCGGCTAAGGGAGGAAGGAGGCACGGAGGCACCGGGGATTCTTTGCACTGGGAGCCGATATGAAGGCAGATCCCTGCACCCAAAACCCTAAACCCTAAACTCTGGGATGCGGGGTTTGAACTCTAGGAGCTTTTACCAGTAGCCTCCTTAGGGCCCTAAACCCTAGACTTCCTAGGGCTAAGGCTAAAGTGGGGTCGTGGGTTTGGGGTTTAAGGTTTAAGGTTTAGGGTCTAGGGTTTAGCGTTTAGGGTTTAGTCTTAAGGTCGGCGACGGCTTTTTCGGATTCAGCTTCATCTGTCATGGATGAAAGGTGTTGCTAAGCACAGGATCCCAAACCCAGTGAGGGCCAACCCATTTGCTTTAAGAATCCCCAAAAAAGCTAACAGAGAATAATCCCAGATGACCCTTACGAAGGAAGAATCTCTATAGTTTTGTTGGGGTGCTCTTCATTAAGCAAATCGTAGGGTCTTTTAAGGCTTAGCGAACCCCAAGAAGAGGAAACATCGGGCTCCCTACATTGCACGCTCGCTGGAAGGCATGCGCGCATGAGATTGGACTCCCGGGGCGTTGATTTACAAAATAATGGCCCGTTTGTGAGTTTTGGGTCTAGGGCTTGGGGAAATCGAAACCTTTTCGGGCCGATGGCAGGGGTCGCATAGCCTAGCCACCACTGATGCTTCAACAGCCCTAAACCCTGAACCCTAAACCCACGTTCCCAAATCTCAAGCACAGATCAAAAACAAAAGACAAACCAAATCCGTTAAACACAAAACCAGCTGACGTCTGAAACCCCAATAAAACCCTCTGAGCCCTAAACCCTAATAAAACCCTATGAGCCCTAAACCCTGACACCCCTACAAACCCTAAACCCGAAACCCCTATAAAACCCGAAACCCCAAACCCCAGACCCCTGAACCACCTCCAACTCCAATGCTCGCACCTCCTCCTGGCGGCGCTGCATAGCCTTCCTGGCAAGGCTTCTTGGCTTCAGGGCACTTTAGGGGGTTGAAAAGCTCAGGGCTTAGGGGTTCATTTAGGGGTTTAGGGTTTAGGGTTTAGGGTCAAGATTTTAGGGTGCTGCCCTGCAAGGGCTTTTGGGATTTGGGTCGCGGAACTCCCGGGGCTGGAGGTTTGAAAAGTTTGGGGAGCTTTTCTGTTTTTGTTTCTTGCGTCGGGCTCTTAAGTGTAGGCTTCAGAGACTGCAAGGCACCAAGATGGCGACGCAAGCCACAGAGTCTATACAGTGCCCACACATGCCCTTGAAATCCTAAAGCCCTGAACCCTATACCTTTACTTGGAGGTTCATGGTACTTAGGAACTAATTGTAACTGTACTTGTATCACAACTTATAAGCCCCTTAAGTGCCCTGATGTGGTTATAAGCACAGTTATAAGTACAAATAAACCCTAAACCCTAAAATAAGTACAGTTATCATAAGTACAGTCATATATAATTAGTTACTTAGTACCCCTCCAAGTAGAATAGCCCATCCTTGCCCGCTCTGGTGCCTTGCTCTTGCGGCCCGCGATTCGGCGGTGCTACCGGCCTTCGCGACTGGGGCTTCGGAGACCCTACTAGCACCTGCTGAAACCCTCAAGCCCCCTCAGGCGTGGGCTTCTTAAGGCTATGGGCAGGAGAGTAGAACTTTGGGCCAACCCCTAAACTCTGAACCCTTAGCCCCAAACCCTATAAACCCTATAAACCCTATAAACCCTATAAACCCTACAAACCCTCTAAACCCTATGAACCCTACAAACCCTATAAACCCTAAAAACCCTATAAACCCTACACCCTATAAACCCTAAACCCTAAACCCCAAACCCCAAACCCCGAGTCTGTTCGTCCCCGCTTGGCCTCGACCCAGCGTCGGTCTTCGTCGGTGAGCTCGAGCGCCTGCTGCTGCATTGCCACGATACCGCAGCTGCAGCTGCTTCTTGGCTAAGGGTTTAGGGTTTAGGGTTTAGGGTTTATGTTAAGCAGGAGGAAATCAGAAATGCGGCTGCTTGTGAGTGAGGCGTGGCGCAGGACAAGCAGCAACAACGAGGCCCCTGTTCCGGTCCCTAGCGGTCCGCAACAACCCTAAACCCTAACCCTAAACCCTGAACCCTAAACCCTGAACCCTAAACCCTAAACCCTAAACCCTGAACCCTGAACCCTAAACCCTAAACCCTAAACCCTCAACCCTAAAACTCCCTAAACCCTGAACCCTGAACCCGGCAGATGCTTGAACCCGTGAAGGCCTTCCGGTCCACAACAGCCGAGGCCTCAGTGCTGGCCCGCAAGGTCAGAAGCCGGCTTGCGAAAAGAGACTTAGAGGTTTAGGGTTTAGGGTTTAATTAGGGTTTAGGGTTTAGGGTTTCGCCCCCAGAACAGGCCCTTGTTCCCTTTTTTTTTAGGGTTTAGGTTGCCTTATAAGCCTCTTTGAACCAGAAAGGGCACCCCTTTTATTCCTAGGTTGCTCTCGGGTCTGGTTGCCCAAAGACTCCAATACCCCTTAATTAAGGAATATTCCTTACACCATATAGGGAAGCTTATTACTTGGAGGTTCATGGTACTTAGTAACTAATCTGACTGTACTTATAACTGTACGTATACCCACATTAGGGCACTTAAGGGGCTTGTAAGTGGGTTACAGGTACAGTTAGAATTAGTTGCTATGTAGCAGGGGACCCCGAAAACAGACCTCAACTAGTAGGATTCCCTTATACTACGGGTACCTTATTGTTGGGCCAACATTGTTTTTATAATCAGGACCCAATATTCAGGTACCCCTTATATCGTAAACCAGATGAGGGTTCCGGGTTTCGGGTGTCGAGGTTCAGCACTGCAGGGACGTAGTTTGAAGCCTTGGAAGGAAGGTTCTCCAGTCCTAGAATCCTAGAACCCTAGAACTCTAGAACCCCAGACCCGAGACCCCTAGAACCCCCAGAACTCTCGAACCCTATAGACCATCCTGAACCCTAGACCCTAGAACCCTCGAACCCTGGACCCTGTAAGCCCTATATAACCCCTATAAGCCCTAACCCCCTCAACCCGAAACCCTAGACCCTAAACGCCGGGAAACCCCCCCGGACCGACAGTCACTTTGGTGAGTCTGGGTCTCCCGGGCGTGGTGCAGGGACTTGGAGCGCAGCAGGTGCCGCTCGACGGCCTGCTGCTCCTCAGCCCCAAAGGGTTTAGGGTTTAGGGTCTGCTTTAAGGGTTCAGGGTTTAGGGTTTAGTGTCTGTGTTGAGGGATGAAAAGTGTCCTTCAGTTTAAGTTTTGGGGTGCGGCGCCTCTTAACCCCGAAGCCTTTGGGGAGCATGTCCTGGTAGGGCTGATGGCAGGGCAGAGGGCCGAGAGCTCCAAGGCGACTGCAGAATGAGCTCTCTGCATGCGAACCCTAACCATATGCAAATAAATACACATAAAATAAATATACACATATCTCTATGTATTTGTTTATCATATATATATGTTTTTCTTTTTATTAGAGAGAGAGAGAGAATAAACGCCCCAAGCCCGTTAAGCCTAGAGCCCCTAAACCCCTAAACTCCTGAGCTCCCCCGCTCGGCGTGGGAGCCTCTCGCAGGACATACTGCGCCTGGGGGCTTCGTTTATGGTCCCTCTATCATGCACTCAGGCCCCTATATTAGGGCTTTGGGTTTCTTTGGGATTAATGGTTCCTAGTCTTATAGGGCTGTTGGAAATCTCAGGGAGTGCTCGGGAGAAGATGAGGGTAGACGAGATCCATTGCGAGGGGGCTTAGGAGCCGAGGGCCTGAATGCGGCCCTTTGAAGACCTAAACCCCTGAAACCCTAAACCCAAAACCCCAAACCCTAAACCCTAAACCCCAAACCCTGAACCCTAGGACTGACGGTCTCCCTTAAAAAATGGCGACAGGGACGTGAGGCTACTGGACACAAGGGGGGCAGGGAGCGTAGAGGGCTTGCAGGGCATGTCGACAGAACCCTCCTTTATGAGAGGCTTTCTGGGGGCTCCGAGGTTTAAGGAGGCTTGGGGAATGAAAACAACCTAGGCCCTGAAACCCTAAATCCCGTCGCCCATGCCGACACCTGAGGCCCGAGCGCGTCGCCTCGTCGGGAGGCTGAGGAGCTGCGGCGCCTGGGCACCAGAAGCAAAACCCAACGGAGCTTTACTCTATAGGGTTTGGGATTTAGGAAGCAAGCCCAACGGAGCTTTAGCCTATAGGGTTTAGGGAGGCTCGTGTTTTGAAGGGCTTTTGGGTTCTAATTTGGCTGCTGGTTAGAACAGGGCTTTGAGTGGAGGGGTTCAATTTGTCGAAGGGGTTGGATTGTGGAAGTGTCTGCATCGGTGTTGGAAGGATATACAGCGTCTCAGCTTAGCCGACTTGTCGATTTTGCGATTTTGCAGTTCAGTGGAGAAATTCAGGAGCCTAACCTAAACCCTAACCGCCGACCCTGCACAGCTTGGGAAGGGCGCTTTTGATGCCTCGAATTCCGCGGAAGATCGGGGTCAGAGGGCAGCGCCCCCCGGAGCCAGGACTACGGCGCTTCCAGGCTCGCCGGCTCCGCGGGCGCGTCGCCAGCGCGCGTGGGCCTCCCTGCGAGCACTCGCTGGCAGACCTGGACCAGCAGCTGCATGGTGCGGACGAGGGCCAGGGCCAGGATGGAGCCCAAGAGAAGGTACCTCTCTCTTTCTGAGATCTTGGGAAACTGGCAGAGGGTTCAGAGGGCGTTTTCAAGCTGCGAGTCCTTCTCAGTCAATTTTTTAACCCTAAAGGACAAGCTGTATTCGGACGAACAGTCCAGGGGCCATGCGATGGGGTAGAGGTTGGAGAAGGTGAGGGCCAAGCGCCCATCATCCGCAGCCACGTCCTCCTGAAGCATGAACATGACCCGTCGCAGGATCACGAAGGTGCTGAAGCCTGCACAGTCTTGCCGAAAAGGTAGCCCAGATTGCCCTAGAACGGCATATAAGAACACGGGCTTACGTAGGGCTTAGGGCTGAGGGCTGAGGGCTTAGGGTTTTAGGGTTTAGGGTTTAAACCGCCCTCGACATTGAGTCAGGGTCTACACAGTCTACACGCTAAGCTGCAAAGGTTTCAGGTTGAGTCATCCTGGGAAAGCCTGCCAATCGCATCTGGGCAGCTGAGGATGGCGTTTGTGGCGAAGAGGTGGGCCGACATGAAAACCTGGAGAAGCATTTTGGGGGGGGTTTCCGGCCATAGGGGGGTACCCCTAGCGGGGGTTGCTATATAAAAGGATTGCGGTATTTTGGAGAAGCATGAAGGGTTCCCCTATTTGGGGAAATACACATTTTTTTCCCTAAGGGCAGGGTTTGAGGCACACTGAGTCCAAGTGAGGAGGCTATTTGGCAGGCGCACAAAGAGGACGCTTTTCGTCTGTTCCACCGATCTCCTCATCGGCCTTCTCATTTTCTAGCTTGTTTCCTCAAGTTGCTGACATTCACAGGTTTTTCTAATCAAGCTTCCACCGGCTCGTGTTAAAATCATACCGGCCAAGGGTTCGTGGAGCAATTCGTAAAGGAGCAGGCCCACAGGAACAAGTAAGAAGCGCCGGCAAAGTTGCAGTGTAGACTCGCCACCAAAGAAACGAGCCCATTTAGGAAACCCTAAACCCTAAACCCTAAACCCTGAACCCGTGTTTGTCGAGACGCATTGAATATGTAGCTGTGCTCATCCACCAGTGGAAGGTCCTGGGCCAACGCAAGAGTGGGGGAACCCTTAACAACATCTATAAAAATTTACATGCCGTTGTCTTTCGTGAGTTCCTTTGAAGAAATAACTCGAGGGATATGAGGGTTGGGGAAGGGTAGAACCAGTTTGGGGTTTGCTGCGAGTTTGATGTAGGATTGTGGGCCCCTAATTCGGGTAAAGCCCCGGGGCCCATACTTCAGAACCCTTGAAAGCAAGGTAAGGGATCATGTTCAGGGACCCCTAAACCCTAAACCCCTAAATCCCTAAACCCCTAAACCCCAAGCCCTAAGCTCTAAACACCCTACACCCCTACACCCCTACACCCCTAACGCCTAAACCCCTAAACCCCTACCCCCAGATAATGGGCCCAGGCATCAATCAGCATCTGAATGGGCCACCACTCCAGAAAGACCAGTTCCCGGAGCCCAGTCAGGAAGGAGCCCGGCTCCTCCTCCGATGCAGCGGCGATGCCCCAAAACTGTTTAGTTTAGGGCCCCCAAACCTCAACCATGACTAAACTACATCGAATCCCTAAGCCCCAGAGTCGAAAAGGCCTCCATACTGACCGAGCCGATAGTGATTCAAACTCAAACCCTAAACCCTCAACCCGAAACCCTAAACCGGGCCGGGCTTCAGCCCCTGAGATGGCTTGGGGCGAAGACAGCTGAGCCTAACAGCTCCTGACTGCAAATCGCAAACGGAAGGTAAGCCCTCAATCCGAATTCCCTGCAACCGTAGTTGGCCCCCTACCCCTAGACCCGAAACCCGAAGCCTAAAGCCTGTGCTCCCAAAGCCTGAAGCCTAAAACCTTAGCCCCTGATCCCTAAATGGAACAGCACCACCAGCCTGGACCTCAGGCTCTTCGTCTTCATCTGCAGCACCCAGCGGCCGGCAACGGCGCTCCTGGGAATGGTAGGTGTCTTGGGCCATTTCTGTGTTAGGAATTGTAGGTTAAGGGTTGACCGAAACCATCCCCAAATATGCAAGATAATGGCCCTGTTTACAGGTTTAGTGCCATTGTTTACATGCTTTGGGGGTCCAGGTATAGGGCTTCGGGCTTTAGCGTTTAGGGGCTTAGGGTTGGGGTCTTCGAGTTGGGGGGGGGGGGGGTTAGGGGTTGGTTTCTGGGCTTTTGGGGGGCTCTTTGAGGGCCTATGCCCCGAAACCCTAAAACCCTAAAACCCGAAAACCCTAAAACCCTAAAACCCTAAACCCCTACACCCTAAACCCCAAACCCCAAACCCTAAACCCCCGTCAGGAAGACGAGGCTCCTGGAGGATCTCACGCAACTGAACACAGACTTCCTCGAAGCGGCAGGGCTCCCAACGTCGGCCCATGATCTGCCTCCACATTATTGGGGTTTAGGGTTTAGGGTTTAGGGTTTAGGGGATAGGGGATTAGGATTTAGGGATTTAGGGGGTTTAGGGTGTTTAGGGTTTAGGGTTTTTGTTTTGGGTTTAGGGTTTAGGGTTTAGGGTTTAGGGTTACTCCTCATCTGGGGTTTAGGGGGTTTAGGGTTTAGGGTTACTCCTAATCTGGGGTTTAGGGGGTTTCGGGTTTAGGTTTTAAAGCTACTCCTAAACCCCCTCAGCTCCAAAAAGACACGAAAAACTTGAAGAGATACCACCAAGGTAGGTACCCTTATCAAGTGACTACTTGGGGAGGGTGGAGGTGTTGGTCCCTGAACTGTCGCGACCCAGGGGCTTCACAGCTGATCTCATGATGTCCTCTTTGACGTGCAGGTACCTGGTCTTGCCCAGGCACGCAATCCCTTCACCCTAAACCCTAAACCCTAAACCCTAAACCCTAAACCCTAAACCCTAAACCCTAAACCCTTAGCCCTAAACCCCTCGGCACACACGTGCCTGAACCCTGGAGAGCCTGAATTCCTAAAATCCTCGAAGCCTCAACGCCACGAGCCCCGGAGCCCAAGCCGAAGGCGAAAACGAACTCGTGGGCTCAGGGCTTCGGCTTAGGGTTTAGGGTTTAGGGTTTGGGGTTTGGGGTTTAGGGTTTAGGGTTTAGGGTTTAGGGTTTAGGGTTTAGGGTTTAGGGTTTAGGGTTTAGGGTTTAGGGTTTAGGGTTTAGGGTTTAGGGCTCAGGGTTTAAGGCCCAGGTAGGGATATGGATCAGGGAAATTGCCTATCCCGAGCCTTTGAAAACCCTTGAGCCTCTTCACTCTGCACAATAAGTTCCGAAGAAGCAGCCGTATGAGGGTTTAGGGTTTAGGGACTTTAGGGTTTAGGGTTTAGGGTTTAGGGTTTAAGGTTTAGGGTTTAGGGTTTAGGGTTTAGGGTTTAGGGGAACCTGAAGACAAAACAATTTGCAGCCCCAGTGTCTTCTCCAGCTCTTTGTAGCGCGTGCAGGGCTTGGAAGAGAAGAATAGCCCCATGGGCACCAGCCTGAAGAAACCCCTATAAACCATACTTTAGGGTTTGGTCAACCTAAAACCCGAAACCCTAAAACCCCAAAAACCGCCTAGGGGTTGGCCCTCGCACGCTCAAATGTAGCTGAGGCCTCTCAAACAGACAAGACGCCATGGTGCTTTCACAAATGTCAGTCACAAGAGACCATGTGCAGACATGCACACCCGTTCGACCACCTTCGAGCATCTAACATCACAGCGTGGTCGTCATAAGCGCGGGCTCTGCAATAGCTCGTTTTGCTGCTGGGATAGAACTGCCGAGTGTCCAAGTACGAGGCGGCAATTTAAATGCTTGAAACTGCCTGAGGGCGAAGCCATAAACACACATGCATGGAAACCGCTGACCATGGGATGTGATGTCTTCACATCATACGTTGCCGGTTTTTAAACACCCGGACATGTAAACAGACAAACAGGTATTTCATACTACCTACGTATAAGGCGGCGTCAGGCCGCCCAGCATTTTGAAAAACTCCACCCCTCCACCCCGCCACCCCTCCACCCCTCCACTCCACCCCTCCCTCCCCCTCCACCCCTCCCCCCCTCCACCCCTCCCTCCCCCTCCACCCCTCCCACCCCGCCACCCCTCCCCCCTCCACCCCACCACCCCGCCACCCCCCCCTCCACCCCCCCCCTCCCTCCGCCCCTCCACCCCTCCACCCCCATCATCTATGGGAGGGTGGTCGCCAACATTCTCCCCCATGTTGCCAGCCGCCATGCCATGGATTCTCTCGGTCTTTCTGCACGGTCGCATACTTTTTGGCATGCTGCGGCTGCGCATTTTGCAGCTTGCCACCGGGCGATACTCCAGGAACGTTTTCCTGGTGCAGAGCCGCACGTCTATCTTCTCATCTTCTTCAACGTCGTCGGCCGCTGCGCTTGCCGAGGGCTCGGGGTGGGCTGGATCTGCACGAGCGGGAGGCGGCGGAGGCCGGAAATCTTCAGGGAGATTCTGGGGCTCCCAACAAGAGCAAGACCTGGACACCGTGGCCTATGGTAAATTGCTGCCCAAGGCAGGTGCATGGCTGCGGTGAGCTCGTTTTGCAAGTCCCTGCCGCATGCTGCAGCTATCTGTGCCCGAGATTGACGGGAGATGTATTGCTAGTGAAACACTTGAGATGAAAGCTGTGGAAAGAAATGGTCAACACCTGCACGGGTATCACGCGGCCTTGATCCTCAAATCAGAGCATCTGCACGGCCAACCTTGGGCCAGCCAGGCCGACACTGTCTGCGCAACAAGTTGCGTACGCGTGTGTGCACTTGGCTTCCTGAATGCAGGACGCTGGCCATCACTGTTTCCAGGCGTCAAAGTTCTGAGTCCAACCCCACTGCAGCTGGGGTCCCGATTGGGGTCCGATTTGGGCTCAGGGACGTCGGCCATGGGCCAACTTGTCGCTGGCGGACAGCGCTGATACGAGCATTTGATTCTCCTCTTGAGTTGAAGCATGAGCGCAGCAGCACGGACCCTCGTGCACCCGACCATTGGTAGCCGCCTCCAAAAAAAAAATACTATAGAGGTCGGCGAATCATTACTCATAGAATTCCCTTATGGCCCCCTGTAATTATACTCTAGCATACCCCAGAAACCCTACTCTAGTTATTAAGGCCCCTCTGCCCAGCGCCCTTCCCTTCCAGTTGGCGAGTGGCTCGGCAACGAAGTCGTCCATAGAGAAGAGGAAGACCAGGCTCAGCGTGCCTGGCCGCTGCTGCTGGGCTGTGGGGTTTAGGGTTTAGGGTTTAGGGTTTAGGGTTTAGGGTTTAGGGTTTAGGGTTTAGGGTTTAGGGTTTAGGGTTTAGGGTTTAGGGTTTAGGGTTTAGGGTTTAGGGTTTAGGGTTTAGGGTTTAGGAGGGGAGCTTTTTTGGGTGTGTAGGGTTTAGGGTTTAGGGTTTAGGATTAAGGGTTTAGGGGCTACTAAGGAATAGATGTCCTGCATTCCTACCAGGGAGTTTTGTACACCCTCCCGGGATGCTGCGCTCCCTAGGTATCTGAAGTCGGAGATGCCGCCGAGGGCGGACCTCTTGAACTACGGTCTGCTACTGATACCCCTAAACCCTAAACCCTAAACCCTAAACCCTAAACCCTAAACCCTAAACCCTAAACCCTAAACCCTACATGCTGCAGAGGGCCGACCTTTTGAACTGTTGGCCTGCTAGACTGGGAGAAGGGCATCTGACCAAGGCTTTCTGGGAATTGCGGGCTGTTTTATCGTTGGTAACCCTAAGATGGCTTTTACGCATGGGGTTTAGGGTTTGGGGTTTGGGGTTTAGGGTTTAGGGTTAGGGTTTAGGGTTTAGGGTTCTGTGATGGCTATAGAGCTTCTGGGGTTTAGGGTTCCGGGTTTCGCCTGGTACGATGTACTGCACGGCCAGCTTCGTGGCTGCCAGGATGAAGGTGCCTTGCGTCTGCAGGTGAACCTGCACCCTTAAGTGCCTCTAAACAGGGTGCGCTCCGCTGCTATGTTCTGAGGTTGGGCCCCAAGTACATACCGTTGAGGCGTCTGGAATCTTAGGGGCGCGCAAGCCCCAGTCACGTCATGTTCTACCAGAATGGATCAGAAAAAACACAAACTCGACAAAGCGTGCAAACCCCTATGAACCCCTCCGTCTCGCAAACTCAACCATGTTCCACAGAGTCAGCCCTATGGGCTTTAAGCCTATTCAGAGGAGTCCCAGGAGTTCCAGGCTGCCCAGCTTCAACAAGGGTTTAAGCTTTTAAGATTTAGGGTTTAGGGTTACGGATACGGGATCACAAGGATTTACAGCTTCTGAGGCTGGGGTGAGGGAGGGCTGCGTTTCGAGTTTACAGCGGCCTGTGGGGTTTCAGCGTAAAAGCGCCCAAGACCCTAAACACCCGTTGCAGCCAAGGGGCGGTCTTTCTCTAGGGTGGCTGGGTTATGCAGCACATCCTGCGACAGGGCTCGCCCCGATAAGCCCGACACACCTGGTGCGACAAACGTGAGCAACTGACGCTGCCATGCATGAAAACTACTTTCGCAGCAACGCATCGCGAAGCGCGTCAAACCAGGTCCCCGCAACTAGCCACACGACGGTCGCGAACACTTGGCCTGTTTCCACACCTGCGTTTGACGAAAACGATACCGAAACACGAGGTTCCGAAACTACAGCTGCCACTCGGCGACCAAAAGCGTCACACAAGCACAGCCGCTGCATGACGGGCCCTTGGTGGACATTCTGCGAATGCTTGTTTTGGTCACCTGCTCGACCACTGCAGCGCCAACACTTTTAAACGACCCTTCTGCTATGCACGCTGGGTTTCGGCCGCCACGCCCCACGCCAACCGCGAAGGTGGCCACTTATGGTTGCGACCCTGAAACCTACGCGGGATTTTACATGCAGGAGGGAGACCCTGGCAAAACGCACGACAATTGCACCAGATCCCTCCGTGGCCCCGCCGACCTCATTCCCCCCCTCCCCCCCTGCCCAAGCGAAGTCACGCCTTCTCAAACAAGAGGAAATGCAATTGAGGTGAACAACCATTTGGTGATCAAGGGGTGTCCTTTAGGGAGGGTTGGGATAGAGGAGCTGGGCCCCTTGGCGAACTCCTAACCCCTGAACCCAAGACCCCTACAAAGCCAAGCTAGATCACTCTGAAATCGTTGTGTGTAAGGGATTCAACTCCAAAAGCGTAACTCTATGTCATATATATATATACATATAATATCAAGGGACCTTGAAGTAGAACGGCCCTCATTCCATCCCAGGCGTGCCCGAGTCCTTCCAGCTTTCGTTGAGGATGTGCCTCGAGGGTTCTTAGAACTTAGAACTTAGAACTTAGAACTTAGAACTTAGAACTTAGAACTTAGAACCCTTAACATTCGATGTTCCCGGGCCCGCCTCGTCATCACATCGCATAACCAACAAAAACCCAAAATCGGTTCAGGGTTGAGGGTTTAGGGATAGCTTCTGTGCATGAGTCTAGGTGCTTCCCCCGGCAAGAGTCGTCGTCGCATGGCTCGCCAAAGGCAACCTCGGCTGTGGAAGGCCTCAACCCTAAACCCTAAACCCTAAACCCTAAACCCTAAACCCTAAACCCTAAACCCTAAACCCTCTACTCAGCTGCTCCAGGGCACAACAGCATCCACAAGAAGCGCCTTCCTACTTCGGTCCCAGAAGAAGCTAGGCACATGAAAGGGTGCCCGGTACCATCCCTGAGAGAGGGCTGTTTTTAGAATAAGGGGGAACATCTCCTAGGTAGGGTTTAGGGTTTAGGGTTTAGGGTTTAGGGTTTAGGGTTTAGGGTTTAGGGTTTAGGGTTTAGGGTTTAGGGTTTAGGGTTTAGGGTTTAGGGTTTAGGGTTTAGGGTTTAGGGCTCACCCTGCCATGGCATCCCGTGAACCATGAGGCAGAAGTGTGCGAGGGCGTGCAGAAAGATCCTTGGTGGCCCAGTAACCATATTATAACAAGCGTTTAGGGTTTAGGTTTAGGGTTTAGGGTTTAGGGTTGGCTATTCTATCAGGGAAGCCAGAACCAAACAAAAAGGGTAAAGGATACCACTGGGCAGCCAAGGATCACGGAGAGGCCCATGCCGCATTTGAAGCCCAGGCGCTTCCCTTTCAGAGTTCGGATGGCGCAGGGTGTATTGGAGATGTGTGACTCATGTGATCGGTTGGGGATCCCACTTGAGGCGTATGGCTGGGACGACACGATGAAGCATGAGACTTACTGAAGGTCCGGAGTGTACAGAATGCACTACCTTGTTCGTAGCCTCCATGTATGTTAAGATAATCTGTACTCTGTCAAGCTTGGGAAACCTCGAAATAGTAAACTCCAAAAAAGTTCAAATAATATTCAGTTCCAGAGGCCCGCTCCCCTAAATCCAAACCAAAAAAGACAAAAAAAAATAAAAACCAACAAAAACGATCAACCGAAGACTAACCAAAAGCAATTCAGAAAATGACACAGCAAACGAGATCCAAACAAAACTTGAAGGACATGGTAGAGCGCTGCTACGTGCAGCTTGCCTGTAGATGTAGGTGATTTTATCTTCTTGTTTAGGAAGCCATGGATCGCCTGTGACTCGAAAAATGCTACGAGAAGTTGGAACGAAGGAGAAAGAAAAGAGACTAGAAAGTGAACAGGATAGACCTGTATTGATGCCAATCAGCGCATGTCACTGGCTGATGTTTGTCGCAGCTACTGCATCTGCCGTAAGTGTTTTTTTCTGAATGGCTCTCTGAATAGTTTTTGAATCTGGCCTGGTGCGAAATCTAAAAAAACTGAAAAGCCACTGAAAAATCATTATTTCCAGAAAGCCCAGTCTTATCAGGGCCGGAATGTCCTAAATCTCGTGTTCGGCATGAAGGAGTTCCTAAACAACGCAGGCTGTGCACTGGAGATGCTTAAAGTTATGTGGCCGCCTACACATTCCTCAAGCCCTCAGCCCCTCATACGAAGCCCTTTTAACACCGCCGTGTGGACAGCACAGGCTTTAGACGCTAAACCTGTAACATCGGGAGGATGGATATATATATATATATATACATGCATATATACATATATATATATATATATGTATATATATATACATATATATGTACAGATATATATATATATATATATGAATCTATGTGTATGTATATGTATATGTATATAATAGGTATGTGTGTAAGATGTATGTGTTTATCTATCCATTTTGCTGTCTGTTACATGAATCCCTCAGTTCGCTTGGCAGGAGATGCCCAACACCACAAACTGGCCTTCGCGGAAGCTGATCATGATGCGATGTCTCATGAGCACGTAGTAGGCCCTCATATGCAGCAGCTTCCACAAAGCCAGCCTGTGCTAGGGGTTGTAGGGCTTTGGGTAAGTATAAGGCCTAGACTACAACAAGGGCCACCTTCTGCATGATGCCAACTAAGGCGTCTTGGCTCAAGGCCTTAATTTCTGCAGAGTTCATCTGCGCCACCATCGAGGGGTTCTGGTTATGTTGTGGGGTTCCGGGTGGCCAGCGCTAGATGCTCCAAACCTAGATGAAGCGGTGCAACCTGACTTCGCAACGTGGTCGTTCCTTGAAGCCTTTTGGTCGTCATGGGGACATGAACTCCAAAACCTCCCGCAGCTCGTGACCCCCAGCAACCTTTCTCTGAACTCTCGCTAACACGTTTCGGGATGACAGGTCGTTTGACCGCTGAACTTGTTCGGGTTCAGGGTTTGCGAGGCCCAAACCAAGGCGGGGCGCAGCACCGGCAGAGAAAGCCCGAGAACAGGGAAGATCCGCACTGCTGGTGTGGTCCAGTCGCAGGCGCTCTTTACCTGAAATGAGTGGCCTCCATTCTCACCTCGGTTTAGTAGAGCTGAGGGCTCCCTTCCTCCCCTATTACCACCAACAGAAACCGAGGGAGGGCGAGGAAAGAGATGCTTTGGAGTACCTGTGTGGGATTGCGAAAATCGACAGCACAAGCTCCTGAAATGAAAACAACCCAAGAGCCAGGCGTCAGCGCATAACAAAGCCGCTCTCCACACCCTTGCTCTGGGGCGTGCTGCTGAAGAGCCTGGGTTTTTTGCGAAAAGAGAACTCAGGGTGTCTGTTCCCTAAACCCTAAACCCCTAAACCCCTAAACCCCTAAACCCCTAAACCCCTAAACCCTAAACCCCTAAACCCCTAAACCCCTAAACCCGACCCAAAAACCTTCTGAGCTTCCGGTTTGAGAGAAATTTTTGGCCCCTGTGTAGACCAGGACTTGACGCAACCCAGCGGGGCCCTATAAGCCCCCTGAAAGGCGGTTTACCGATGCTCCCTAGATCCCAGTAGACACAAGTTCAAGTAAAAGCCATTCCAGGCGGAAGAATCCTATGAGGGGGCCTGGTTTAGGGTTTAGGGTTTAGGGTTTAGGATTTAGGGTTCAGGGTCGAAAGCTCAACCCTTAAGTGCCCAAAGCTGTATGAAGACCCCAAGGGAAAACCGGCTCGGACCGGCTCAGGGCTCCCTTTTTACACAGGGTTTAGGATTTAGGGTTTAGGGTTCAGGGTTCAGGGTTTAGGGTTTAGGGTCGAATGCAGGGCGGCCTCGGGTTGTTGTACGAGATCACCAGGGCCATAGGTGCCAGGATCTGTCCCAGCGCCGACCAGATCCTTCGCATTCGGTGGGGAGGGAACTATCATCCCAAAATTAGGGTTTAGGGTTGAAGGGTTAAGGGTTTAGGTTTTGGGGGTACCTTGGGATGTTCCCATTTTTTTACTAGCAGTCCTTAATAGGGATTGGAATCGGGGGTACTAATTATAATCCCTATTCAGGACTGGTAGTATAAGGGGAGAACATCCCAAGTTAGACGCAGCTATGTGGGGCTCGTAGAAGTGTAGCCTTCATGAGAATTCAGCCCCATGTGTAGGGCTTGAGGAGGACCCAGATAGACGGTTCTCTAGACCCAAGAGCAATCCCAGAATACAGAGGGTACCATTATTGGTTTTAAAGGGGCCTAAATGGGAACCTAACAACAAAAGGAATAAGGGCCTACTCTGGAAACCCTGCACCCTAAACCCGAAACCCGAAACCCTAAACCCTAAACCCTGGACCCGAGTTCTTGGCACAGAATCCAAGGATCAGTGTCAGCAACGCGGAAGGATCGCCCCACTCCTCCATCACCGGCCTTGGGGCTTGAAAGGCGGCTCCAGGGGGTTAGGGTTCAGTCAGGGTTGAGTTGGGTTTTGGGGAACTTAGTGTACTTAAACCCCTACAAATCCTGCAAACCCCTATAGACCCGAATAAACCCTACAAACCCCTCCCCGCAGAACGCCTGTAACCCCTAGGACCCCCTCGCTAGACAGCCCTAAGACTCACCGCCTGCGACTCAGGCACCAGGATACTCCCAAGCCCAAAGGTTCCCTGATTTTCCTGTGAAGCGGAAGACAATGGTCAGTTCTCTTCATTGGGGTTCCTTTCTGGGTACCCTAAGTAGGAGGGGCCGCCTTATAAAGGGACCATATTTTCGAGAGAAGTGACCAAATGACATCGAACAGAAAGGCCCACCAAGGCGGGGGTGCGGCGGGGCAATCAGACCCTCGTGGAACACACTGCACGATCAGGTGCCCTTCCCAAAGAGCCCAATACCGCTTAAATAAGGAACATTCCTTAAATCATATTCAGGATCCATATATAAATTAGGCAATACTCCCTAACTAAGGGATATTGGGCTCTTTGGGTTGACCCCAGTCCGAGCCGCACGTCTGCGCAGGCACCATAGGACGGCAGGGCCACTTTGCAAACGCTCTCCTTCCTTGCTGGCTGAGTTTTTCAGGGGTGATACAAGTTCACCAAGGGGTTTTTGACCATCCATTTCACTGGAAGATGAGCTCCCATGGAAGCGAAGGTTTCGTTGTGCCTACTACTACTACTAATGCCTACCGCGTGACCCCGAGCTTGGAACCTCAACCCTAAACCCAAACCCCAAACCCCAAACCCTAAACCCTAAACCCTATAGGCCCTAAACCCAACAAGGTTCAACGTGAATGGCTGTCTACTCAGCAGCTACCCAAGCTTCTCAGCTGCATCCTCTTTGGCTGCCATGGGCGGCCGGGGGCCTGGCGCAGACCAGATGCCCAAACGGGAGCCCTATGCCGACCCCAAGGGTTTAGGGTTTAGGGTTTAGGGTTTAGGGTGAACATGAACATGCCACCCGACAGCAGACTGTGGCTACAGCACTTTCTTCCATCACAGCGCAGCTATGACCCCCAAGCGGTTCCTGCAATCAAGCTGCCGCGGTTTCTCGAGAAATCGGAGGTAGATCGTACTCCGCATTTGCGGAGGCAGGCATGAGGGGCTTAGAGACTTGAGGCGAAAGATGCCACACCGCGCGTGGGAAATTCGCCGGATTGCAAGGTTATTAGGCATCACACTTGGTACCCTTATCTAGTTCATGGTTGGGATAGCAATTAAAAAACTAAATGTCTCTTACTAGTACCCTTAAACATGTAAATGTTACCCAACAGTGAGGTACTCGTCACACTCGGGGTGTATGCATTCCCGAACTGGCAAGCAGTCCAGCCAGGCGCTGGAACAACCCTTTACTCGCTAGTTTGCAGTACTCCTATTGCTTATTAAGAATGGTCTAGGGTTTAGGGTTTAGGATTTAGGGTTTATGTAAGCTTCACTTAAGCTAACGACCGGCTGTGGGGCGTTGAATGGCCTGGTCTATCAGTCCATTGCGCTGCGCAAAGGAAGAACTGCACCAGCATCTCATGCACCCTTCACCCCCCAAACAACCTTCTGAAGACGAAAGATCCACTCAACAGGTCGATTCTGGGACCCTCGCGGCCCAACTCTGAATCCTAATGCTGACCCAACACCCTAAACCCTAAACCCTAAACCCGAAACCTAAAGCCTAAAGCCTAAAGCCTAAAGCCTAAACCCTAAACCCAAGTCACTCTTTGGGATGCCCCACCGTGTCGTGGTGGAAAGCTGAGGTGCCACAGGCACCTTCGATGAAGGGGTTTAGGGTTGAGGGTTTAGGGTTTAGGGCCCCCCCCAAGGGCTCAAGGCTTTCTGGGGTTTTCGGGCTGAGGGGCTGCTTGAAAAATATGTTGTTGGATGTAGTACTTTGCATGTTTGGTTTCAGAATTCAGTTTTGGGTGGTCGACGAAGAAGACCATCATGCAAAGGGGACGAGAGGAATGAAGCGCAATGGAAGATCATGTAAGCTAACACTTCACTGTCGGCAGTAGACAGCGAACACTGGCAACCGCCGACCTGCCCGAAAACAAATCATCCTGGTCCCCAAGCCCTAAACCCCAAGTTCTATCTGCCCCAAAAACCCGAAACCCTAAACCCTAGGCCCCCAAACCCCGAATGTCAACATCCCTGCCCTCAAGCACACCCTCAAAGCCATCCCGCAGACTCTCAATAGCCCCTCCAGCATCCTCAAGTTCCGAACGACCTCGAATTACGGTTTAGGGTTCAGGGTTCAGGGTTTAGGGTTTAGGGTTTTTGGCCTCTTTTGGGTTCCGGGTCAGGCCGCAAACCCGCTTCCGCTGTGATTGGCGGGGTGCTTCTTCTCTTTAAGTCCTTTTAGAGGCCGAGAGACTTTGCAAAAACTTGCACAGGGTTTGCCTACGGATCTTAACAGGGACAAACCCTGTAAAGGATTAAAAAATCTAGGGTGCTTAGTTCCCTCCCACTAAGTCTTAGTACGGAACCCGAAAATGTGCAAACCTGACCGCTGCTTGCCGAGTGATCCCTAAACCCTAAACCCCAAACCTCAAACCCTCAACCCTGAACTGTCGGACTTTCTGGGCAACGGACCGTCAAAGCCGGCGCCCATGCCTGAGAGGACCTCGGGCGAATTATTCTCAGGGAATCTAACCTCGCGGTAGCTCATCCCGAAACGCTATGACCGCTGCAAGCCCTATAAACCCTATCAACCCTATAAACTCTATAAAACCTATAAACCCTGCAAGCCCTATACATCAACCCTAGTCCGGTGCAGGGAGAAATTCAGAATTCTGGCCTGCAGGCTGTGTGCTCTTGCTGGCGTTTATTCCTGTGTTTGTGAATTCGACATGAAACAAGTGAACTAAATACCCCCACCATGAACCCTATAGGTATACCTCTCAGCCATCCCCGCAAAATAGGCACTCAATAGAGGACCCCAATAACACCCTAAACTGGGGGGTAGAGGGGGGGTAGGGGGAGAGGAAACCGGGAAAGCTTGGGAAACCTGAGGGAACCTGAGGGCGTGTGGACCCACCAACCCCCTTCAAGCCATTCAAGCCCCTAAAAACCCCAAGGTTTCGGGTTTCACACTTAACCGTAAACCCCC